TTAGGAGTTTCCAACATTGGTTAGTTAATTACACATGTAGCATATATTAAGATATGTGCATCGGTGTGTGTGTGTGTATTTGTGTGTGTGTATTTGTTTAATATATATCATCATTTAATTTATGTTGAAGGATAGAAATATTGGAGGATAAAATTAAATGAAAATATAAATTGTTTATTTTGTATTAAACGTTTACATAGTGTCGAAGGAGAAGATACAACGGTATTCTATAGTGTATACAGAAAGGAAGGTAATAATGCTGTACAAGGAATGTTACGTCCAAGCGATATAGTTAATTATGCGGTCAGGTAAATAAAGGACAATCTTTCATTCCACTTACAATCAATTTCACCAGTTGGAATTTTCCCGTCAGCTACATCGTTCTCTGAAATACAATCCAAAATACTGAGCAATGTTTTCGTTAATCTCAAAAGATCACTGAAACTGTAGAATCCGAAATAAATTAAATCGCGCGCCAGTTTGACGACCTGAAATTTGTTATTGAAACAACATCAAACAATGGTGTTTATTTTGCAAATAAATTATGTTGAATGAATTCTTTCGAACGTCTTACTTCGAACGTGAGTTTGTTCTGTTCCTGATCGGCGAAAGACCACATTTTTGCCACAACATTACATAAATAATCTTCCACAAACATTATAGTCGCGCTAAACTTAGCACGTACGCCTTCTTTATTTTGGTCCCGCATCCTGTTTGCATCATAACTGAAAGCAGACAATAAATTCCGTAAATTTCTCAAGATATACATCACTACGTAGTTATTCTATGTAGTTATTCTTACTCGTTAATGCTCATTTTCGACGGAATTTCAGACCAAAGTCGAGCATATTTGACTGGCGTCACTTGCTCCTGCGGATCTCTGTCAACGTGAAGATGCAGCATAAGTCGACAAAATGAGGCGCGTAATTCATACGGCACTGTCTCATCCTCCATACACCTGAGGACATTTTTTCATGAGAACAAATTTTTATAAATAATAAATTTGTATAAAAATAAATTGTACAGTAGTTACAAAATGCATTATATTTACTTAAGTATAAGACCAATGTCCAAATGTGGTGACAAATTATTTAGCGCCAAGTACTGTCTATTCAGACACATATTACTGAAGAGATTTAATTGATGTCTGTAATAATCCAATATTGCTGCATCTTGAACATTGCCTATCTTTGCTCCTCTTGATAACTCGTTTAAAGACATTGATTTCTATGTAGATTATTAAACATTTTAGGAACTTCAAACATAAAACTAAATGCACATTTATGTAACAATACTAACCGATCCATTATTCCATACAAGAAAAACCTCATACTCTTCCATCACAGTGATCCGTGGTTCGTCATTCTCCTGTTTCTCATCCAACTCTTCAACCTCAACCTGAGTTTTCGTCATTCTAAAGAAAATCGTTGTACATTAGCAGATATAAATTAAATCTTGTTGTTGCAAATTAATCCACCTTACCTAGTTTCTAAAAGTATATCTTTATTCTTTTCACTTAACACACTTTTGCAAATTAATTCTTGCGTCACGGCGATCGCTTTTCTGTTAGAAATACATAAGTCTGATAAATAATCCAAGAATCTGGATTCCCAATTGTGCATATTTTTCCTCACAAGTCCCACAAAAGTCTCAATCTCTGCTGCGGTGATATGCTTCTCTAATAATTTTCTGTTATTGTGTAACAATGCAGTGATAGTGTCTTCCGCCAAAATGTCGTATCCAATTTGCTTTTGCATGAAAGCGAAGTGTTTCGCAATATATTCCTGCATTATGTGGGATAGATTAATCAGTGCATCCTACATCTGCGTAATTAAAAGACGAGATCACATCTAAATATACTGTACTTGGTTTTTCCGATAATCTTGTTGAGACAGTCTAAGTATTCGATAGCATAAACGAAACATATATTTGTACGGCGCGTGTCGTGGGTCGTTCAATTCTTCTATCCTAAGAAATGGTCCCTCACCTTCTGCAGACTCTAAGAATGGAGCCTACAAATAAAAGTTTAAGAGAATTACCTGCCTAAAAATTGTAATATTTAATAACTGTTCTTGTTAATTAAAATACCCTATCCAGCATATTTGATTATTTTCTTTGTATCGTGCTCTTAATTATTATTTTGCAAGCAACTTGTATAGTATAATTTTGATGTATAGTGTGTAAAATAAAAATCATAATAAATTTCAAATATCTGTATTTTAAAAAATGAAAAAATAGAATATTTCAACTAACAAGTGAAGCATATCTAACAACATTTAATAACTTTACCTGAAGTATTTTAAATAATTGACCAAGTATGTATTGTTCTCGCAATAACTTTTGTCGATCTCTGACAGCATTGGTGACGATTAAATCTAAAGCTTCGGACTTATTCTGCTCGTTCTCTAGCCCGGCTATAAAATACACTATATCCTGTAATAAACTGGTCACGGCTCTTCTTTCATTGTGCGAGATCGTGCCCTTCTCCAGTTTACCACTAATCGACGCTAATACTTTACACGCGTCATTCGCGAAATCCAGATCCCGCACTTCAACTGGCGATACTGACCTCAGTGCAAACGCCTCTTTATCTTCTTTATTGATTGCACAGCCAACCTTACGACATAATCTCAATTTAAGCACGTAATATTTTTAAAAGATTGTAATGTATGTATATACAGAAAAATTTGGTGTTATTGTACTTATTCAGACAATAAACAATTTAGCTCAAAATTCTGTTAATTTAGAGTTGCTACATATTTCATGGAACTTCAAAATTCAAAATTCTCTCAATTTTAAGTCATTATATTCAGAGAACATTCAGCTTGTAGTTCTATTAATTCATTAAAAATGAATGAATGAACAAATGTCATCAGTGTATACCTAAGTTCTATTTAAAAGTACCTTTGACATAACAGGTTTTTCGTCATCTTTATCGATTGGTACGCTGGTCGAATGAACCCAAGTGTTTGTACATATATGATGCAACCTGACGAACGATGATTGTGGAACCAAACTGTCGCCTCTGGTTAACGTAGTTGGGTCCAACTCGAATAAGGAACTTATTTCGTTACTGTGTGGCACTGACACTAATCTATACACTGGTCCAGGAGGATCTATAAACCACACGCTTTATATCATAATGATGTTAAGAACCATATATAAATACGTATATCGTGAACATTCATTACACGAAACTACACAAGGCTTTTCTATTATCACAACGTGCAAGGAAATATAGCAATTTTATGTATACAATTCCCTGATGATTCTCGTCGATGCTACTTTACACATAAATATCTATCTTACCACGCTTGCCTTTTGTGGTCTCACGTGGTTCATCGGTGTCGATTTCTGCAGCCAAATATTGTCCCGTTGCCAAATGTTTGAATCTGAACAGCGAGTTCCAGTGACCTGCTCCTCCTCTGCAAGGATCGTGTTGAACGACCTGTAGAAACATAGAATTTTATTTATAAAATAATTGAAGTTCTATGATCCGCCATGCAATGATACAATGACAAATAATTCTCTATTATTTACTATATTCCTGCACCATGTAAATCATTAGAATGATTATAAAAGTAAATTAACAAGAAAATTCCAAGGACTTAATCCTCGATCAACAGATATTCTATATTTCTCGTCTGAGCAGGGTACTGCAATTTTCACTAGCTATTTTCAGTCGACATTAATCGATCGTTATAATGCAAGGTCAGTTATTATCATTCAAGATTACCGTTTAATCTTTCTATGTATTAATTTGACACTCACTACAGCAATTGGAATTGGTTGAGTACAGTAACAACGCAAGCACTACACATTAAGAATTGAAACTCTTGCGTCTCCTGCGAGCACCTAATGTACCAATCAAACAACTATTGTCTTACCTCGACCTCCCACAAAGCTTTGCTGCTCGTAGCTGCAGTGGCGCTAGTCCTACCAGTGGTCCTAAGAAACACGTGTTGCTTCTTCTTGTATTCGTCCATCGTGAGGAACTTCTCTTGTTCCGCGTGAAACAACCGTACAACATCTCCACCTTTTAGAATCTCCTCCTGGTTCTCCCTGTGCTCCATAAATAACGTTACTTTCCAAGAGGTAGCCGCGTTCACTACGTTCACCTCCTTGCAACCAGGATTGTCGCTCAATTCGTAATTAGCGGCCACGTGAAGGCCTTGTCTTCCAGCATTCACCGGCTCCAAAATCACCTTGTCACCGACAACCACGCTGTCGCCGTCGCTACGAAGTTTGTAGAATGGCATTATGTACAGCCAAGAGCCCTCGTTTCCGTTCGCGTCCAGGTACACCCTCATCGCGTTCTTCTCGAGCAGCGCCGGAAGTCTCTTGTTCACCGTTAGAAATTTATTGGATTTCAAATGCAACAGCTAGAAGGAAAGATGTTCTTCGATTTGTAAATTTAGAATATTATCGGCATTGTTATTATTATTTATATTACGTTACTTTACGAAATAACATTTTAATAATTATTGTTTAGAATATCTTGATAATATGTTATTTATGAATTTTCAACGCAACGCGCTTAGAATCACTGTGTTAGTTTTGCTTAAAAACAACTATAAAAACTTTTATGAGATATAACACTGAATGAGATTACGTATCATCATTGTCACCAGAATTTAAAATATTATCATTTACAATCATCAGCATCATCATTTTAAACGACGTAATTCCCTTAACTACAGTAATACATGGAATGTAATGCACGTCAGAGTTTACTATATTACTGCCTGAAGTTACAGTAATTAGGAGCCTGTCGCAGAGCAAGAGCAAAATTACATTATCGTTCGATCCGATGGGGAAAGAAGGGGAGGGAAAATGAAAAAAAAAAAAAGAAGAAAGGAAACACGACATGCTGAAACTAAAAGGCAGAGCGTCAATTCACTGGTTGGTCGTGACAAGTTTTTAATCCCCGCAATAAAGTAGATCTAGCTCGATAGATCGACAAAACGCATCCAGTGTTGCACGTTTATTGCATCCCGTTAAGTAGACGTCTAATGGCGTTCGTAGACACTTGCCCGTCCGCCTATGAGACGATATTTCACCTCCGTGTGTAATACATTTAGCTACCATCACTTTGTCTGCGTAACGTTGTTCCCCTTCCCTGGTTGTTGACGCTAAAAGCACCGCGGATGCGATTAATAATTCGATCATACACTTAAAACAGCACGCAATTACAGGGCCCAGTCCGCCTTGTCGCCGCGGATGAAATTCAACGTTTAGAAGTTGAACCGCGCATAACTTCCAGCGACACAGATACAAAGAAATATCGCGGCAGCAAGCCTGTTAATTGGCGACCAGTTATCGTTCTCTTGCCGTTTTACGCAATGAATCTCGCGAGGAACGCGCAAAGAAGAAAAAAGAGCAACATAAAATATCGCCAGGAAGTCGAGATTTTATAGCAATCGTGGGGGATGGATTCTTTTATTTAATAATCGAGAGTGTAAGATACGCTAAAAAAAGTTTGGAAAAACCAGGAGAATGAAAAAATGATAAAGATTTTGAAATTTTGCTCCAAGTTGGAGGTTTCCTTCCAACAAAAAAAAAAAAAAAAAAAA